AAATCGTATTTTGGTGTTGTATTACACTTGTAGACGTATTTCTGTCTATCAACTTTATTGTATTTATTGTATTTATTGTAGCTTAATATGGCAAATATTGTATCATCCTTACGCCTCAAGAATACATCTTGCACTGAGCCATTCGGCTTAGAACAGGTGAGCTCCCTCTAGATAGATAGATATCTAGGTAAGTAGATAGATAGATAGGACCACATACCCAATATTACATGCCGGCATACCATAACCCATTCCCTTCTCTCTCTCTCTATTCTCTCTCTCTATCTCTCTCTCTCTCTGTACTACTAGGGGGGGGGAGGATGATTTCCCCCTTTTAAAAACTAAATGATTTCAGGCTAATTAAACCTCCCCCCCCCACAATAAGAAACATCACGATCTATTTTGTTTAATTTTTTCGCCCCCCCCCCACCCCCACCCCCTGGAATGGTTAATAAAAGGGTTTGATTAAACACTGTAAAAAAGTGACAGGACTTATGAAGTTAAGCTGCTCACACAAAACCAAGTAGAGCAAGCCAAAATGCATTTTTATCAATTTTATTAAATTAAAGCTATTTCCAAAAAAGATATGATATCTTTTATCCAATGTCGTAAACCTTTGATATTTTAAACTTATTATATTTGATCTAACAAAAGTCATAGTTTGAAATGTCAAAGGTTTACAACGTTGGAATCCAAAGGTATAGGGATTAGAAAATCAGAGTTTGTAGCAAAGACTCAATTCCTTTGACTTAGAAATCCATGTTTAAGATTTTAAAAACTGATTGTTTATCGGTTCTCCAATAATGACTTGAGCAATTCTACCACAGGAAAAGAAGGAAGAAATTATAGAAACTATCAGAATTAAACACTCTTCCAAATAGGAAAAAAATAACACTATCATTATCTTCCTTCCTTTTTATCAGATCCGGGGTTTGAGAGAAGCGCTGTGAATTGGACATGTCTCTAGCTCTTTTATTCTACAATGTAGATGTAAAAAATATACAACGACATGAAAAAGTATGAAAACAAAAAAGGTCAAAAGGATGAAGAGTTTAGTCCCATTTTCGAAAAAATCGTACTTAAAGGGACTGTAAAGGAAAAATAAATAATATTATCAATTATATCTATTAAAAATGCAAAATAAAATTAAAAAATTATAAGAGGAGCAAACCTGAGATTCTCAGGCTCCTGTGGGACAACTCGTTTTCAGATTGGTTGCGTATTTGCTGAATATGATCTGTTTAAACCTACTACTTATATACAAAATTGTATATATATGAATTTTCGTATAATTTTGACACAGTTTAATATCAATTTCTCGAGACAGGATCATCAGATAGATGTCTTATATGTATCGTTCAACCGCTGAAATTCTCAGGTTTCATCCATACCCCTTTTCACTTTTCATTCGCAGTCCCTTTAAAAACGTGAAAATATAAAAATCTGAGGACAAATTCCAGCCAGGGATCGACCTAATTGAATAAAATGAAACTTTAACTTAACTTTAACTTTAAAGAGTTTTAAGGATAAACTAGGTAGCGGCAAAAAACAATGGCACATTAGGAGCAAACCCTGCAGTTGGGATACGAGGTTGCGTGATTTTCAGAAGAGTAAATAGTTTTAAAGTTTTATTGAAATCATTATGAACTCTTAAATCTATATTGTCATAGCTATTAACTTTTTATAGTGTTCAATTTGAAGAGATAAAATTGATTTAGTGAAGTGTAACAGAAGAAAAGTGTTGTCATGTCCACAGGGAGCGAAAAATGTTTGCAAAGCTTTTACAATCTGATTCCAATTTGGCATCTATCGGTTTTCTCTATGAAAATTGTCCAAACCCCTAAATTGGTCAAAACAGATATTTAGTTTGGCATTAAATAATTTGAATACAAATAAAACGAAGAATAACCATTTTCATTTTCAAAAATGTTTCCACTTGATTTCTGAATTTTAATCGTTTTGAAACTTACCAAACAAATTTTTTAATTCGATTTTCTTCTCGTGAGTGTAAAATTTCATATATGTTTATCCAAGGTCAAACAAATTTATATTTTAAAACTTTTCATAAAAAATAGCAATGCCCAATTCACAATGGTACACTTTAAACCTTTATCTGATCAAAATTCAAAATGAAATGTTAATAATCATTTATTTGTTGTTTCTCTGACTGCCTGTCTGTTCGTTTTTCTCAAATAAACGTCAAAACAGCTGAACCGATTGGGCCCAAATTTTGTGCTGGACCTCACATGACCCTCAGATGCTCAAAGTTACAAAAATTTGTTTCCAAAAATATTTGATGTAACATTATAAAAAACTCACTAAAACAATAATTGTAAATCCGCAATTTATTTTTTATCTTTGTTTCCTCGAAGAGAAAATGCTGAAAGCTTGAGCACAATTTAAAAGTTTAAATAGAATAAGCGAGAAGTACTCTGATTGCCTAGTATTTCTATAATCCTCTACAGCTTTACTTCTTCTTTAACATTTTATATCAAATTTTTTTTGTACTTTAATATTTTCATAATATAATGTAAGAAGTTTCCAATCAGTACAAGATATTTGAAATTCACCCCCAAATCCCCAAGTCCATGTCCTCCCAGGCTCCCAGCCCAATTTCCATTTGATAAAAAATTAAACTATTTTCAGTATTAGTCTCTATAAAGTTATTTTATGTAGGCAAACTGATTCTATGGAGTAACATAATTGCTCCTGGACATCTGCTAAATCTAGTCATTGTGATTAGGGATTGTCATTGTTTAAAACAAAAAAATAAAAAACGATCATTTTACTTTTAGTTTTGATTTTTCAAAACTAACGAACCTTAGTTATAAGAAAAATTATGAGTTAAAACTAACGAACTTTTAGAAATTTAAAATCGAAAACGTTATGACAGCTAACTTCGTTTTTTATGTTAAAAAACGATCCATTTCTAAAACAATCGTTTCCTTTTTAATTTTCTTTTCTTCAAACAATTAGTTTTTTTCTAAAAAAGGAACTTGTTCCATCTCTATTGGGTTTATCCTTTATCACATCTATATATAAATTTGGCTTGTCTGTTTGTTTCCAATAAACGTCAAAACGGCTGAACCGATCGGGCCCAAATTTTTTGTGGAACATCACGTGACCCCATGTTTGATAAACATTAAAAAAAATGTGTTTTAAAGGTTTATGCTTTGTAAAAAAATTAAATTCTTAAAAATTCGCGAATTTTTTTTTTAAATCCGCCAAATTCTTTTCTTCTTTGTTTTAAGATTTAAACAAAAAGAACATGTTCCCAATTTAAATAGAAGATGGGCGCGAAGCGCCCTAAAAGCCTAGTTTATCTATATATAAATTTGCCTTGTCTGTCTGTTTGTTTGTTTGTCTGTCTGTCTGTTTGTATCCAATAAACGTCAAAACGGCTGAACCGATCGGGCCCAAATTTTTTTGTGGGACATCACGTGACCACAGGGAAGGTTTATGAATGATAAAAATTAAAGAAAAATGTGTTTTAAAGGTTTATAATTTTGTAAAAAATTTAAATTCTTGAAAATTCGCGAATTTTTTTTTAAATCCGCCAAATTCTTTTCTTCTTTGTTTTGAAATTTAAACAAAAAGAACATGTTCCCAATTTAAATAGAAGATGGGCGCGAAGGGCCCTAAAAGCCTAGTTTATATTATGTAAATAATTAAAATTTTTTGATAAAAAAATTTCAATAAATGTATTCTATGGTTTTCAATCAGAATTCCGTTGCGCAGAATAGTGCGCAACTGTTCTCGTAGTGCGTGGAAAAGTGCAAAATTGCGCGGAGTTGCTAGAAAATTACAGGGCCAGCAATTGCAAGGAAATAAAATCTACTTGCGTTCAAGAATGTAATGCAAGGAAAGTTAATTGCAGTTGCGTATGCTCTGCGTACATATTGAAACCAGTTCTCTCTGGCAGAATTTGTAAACAAGAACAGATCCATCAGTGTTCGTTTAGTATCCGAGGAGGTTAAAAGCATTGAATTTTGATGATTTTGATAGTTCACATAATAGTTTCCTATGACCAGAATATTTCATTGATTATTTATGTGAAAAATGGATCCCATGTCAGGCTTCGACATCCGTCTTGTGTTTACATTACCGCCCAGTGACAGTACACTGCAGTACAAAAGATGCGTACACCTCTGAAATAACTTTCCTTGCATCAAATCCTTGCTTGTGTCCCAGTACACATGGGAATTTCGAGAAGACTTGAAAATCGTCTTAGATTTCTGATAATTGATACATAACAAAGAGTGTATCAAAAAAAAAAGACTGTATGTTCTATGAACATTCCAGAAAGCATGCTCTACCTTTTTTGTATCTTTTAATTGACGGAGATATTAAACATTTACAAAATTTTGTGATTATTCAGTAAATTGGAATCTGAAAAAATCTCTCAGTATCTTTGTCAATTTAAATGTTCAAAATTACTAGGATACTAAAATGATGTTAACAAAATAATGCCGCACGTAAAAAGTTTAAATGTTGTCACTTAATTCTAATGTTAATATGGACACCCTGTATACGTACAGCAAGAGCTCTACATTATTTAAACAATAATATCAAAATCAAAAGTTGAATAAAACTAGTCCAAGATACTTTGATATGTTTAAATTTTTAATGTGATGTTATATAGGACGTGTGCTCTCATGGACGCCATGTTGGCCCTTCTCCCAGAGGACGAGAAACCAGGTTGCCTGTTCCAAGGTTTATTTCTGGAAAGGTTACCCGTCGAGATGAGGGACCATCTAGTCTCCAGGGAATTCAAAAACCCTAGTGAAATGGCGTTATATGCCGATAGTTTGTGGGACGCCAGGAAAGCTATTTTATTTAAATAAACACTGCCTGCCACGTAGCTGTGCTAAAATACACAAAGATTTTTTTACGGTGGTTATTATGTTCATTATCTCTAAAGCTAGCTAGTCCGTGCCCGTGGTCATAATCAAAACCTTATTTTTCTCTATATTTTCGAGAAAAAAATCAAATAAAAAGCAGAATATTTTTTTAACCATATTTAATTCAAGCAAAAAAATAACAAAAAAGCGAACAACTACGTGATTGTCGTCTTCACAGTGTCCTGGTTCATCTTGGGCCAATCCAGATAAATTTCTTCAACATCTGAAAACATAATTCATGAAACTAAGCTATTAAAACTGTGGACAGTTAAGAATCAGATTATGATTTTAAATAGGGCATGGAACATGAAACAAAGCAATTGTGCCGAAAATACAGAATTATTGAAGGCGATTGGTATATCGTTGCTTTATATCACATACACAAGAGTGATTAAATGTCGTCTTCCTATCCCAGCGTTTAATGGGCACTAATGTACTAGACACCCTTACCTAGCGCAAGAATATCAGTTTCCACGCCAAGCAAGGTTCTCAGGTTGGGTTTGGTTCTCTCAAAGTCTCCGTGAACCAACTCCTTTAAAACATTCAGAATGAGACATGAAAACAGACTGAATAGATTAAGACAAAAGTCTAATGTTTATAGTCTGAAATAATATTACATGTATTACATGCATTACATGCATTACAAAATTGAAGCAGAAGAGATACATCAGAAGTTTTAGATTAAATACAACTACAAGGGACTGTACACGTAATACAACTACAAGGGACTGTACACGTAATACAACTACAAGGGACTGTACACGTAATACAACTACAAGGGACTGTACACGTAATTTAAAGTGACTCTCCCTTTACAGAGTGGCATGTCTGATTCAAGATGACAAGAATGTATGAGATATCCTATTGTTCTCTTTGAAAATTTATTGTTTTTCAATTATGGTTCCTCTATAAAAGTGACCGACAGATTTACGTTGCCTGACAATGAATGAAGTTATCGTCTTAAAACAGGAAAATAACGTTTTTCCTTTTTTACTCATATTTTTGTGTTAAAGATACCGTGGTTAATCGGACATGCCAATCCTTAAACAGGGTCACTTGCATTTACATTCTCTGTAAAATATTTCGGTCTCATTCTGTAAAAACTAAGTTATGTATCAAATATGAGATCTTTGAACTAAAATGATCTAAATTTTCATTAAGCCAAAGTTGTTGAATTTAAAATCAGAATATTTCTATTAATACCTTAATGTAGGCTCCAGCCGATGATATCACAGCTAACTAAACAAACAAGAAATTTTTACGTTTTAAGTTTTTTTAAAAATACGAAGTAAAATGAAATTATAGTGATTACAAGACTTTAAATGGTGTAATTGTGCAGTGGAAACAGACCCATTTCACTCAATAAGTGATTTAGTAACTTACTAGGACAGCTAATTGCTTTGTAACAACATTACATGCACTTCAGTATTGCTTTCATGTCCTTTTCTACAGTTTTCTGGTCATTTATTCATTTTCGTGACCGTATACAATTTAACTGAAAAAAATTTGTTTATTTTTTACCTTGAATAGTGTTTCTGAAATGGGCTCAACTTTCATGCTGTGAATAGTTTTCTCCCTAGATATATATTCTTTTAAAATCAAAATAAATATTCAAAATATGAAAAAATATTTAAAATATAAATAAGATTGAAAAATCAAATAAATTTCTTAAATTGACCATTTTTTCTTAAACATTACCTTGTGGCGTTACTGCGTCTGTGAAGAACTCTTACCGGAGTATCCTTCGTAAATTACAATTAATTACTTCAGAGCTGAAAACTTTAGAATGAGATATCCTTAATCCGGATCGGTTAATTAATCTGGAGATTAATAACAAGAGGAGAACAAGCATAATTTAATCTGGAGATTAAGAAAAGAGTGGATCAAGCAATAATCCCGATATCCACCATTTAAAAGTTCCCAGCTCAGAGGTAATTTTTTATGGAGGGAATAGAGTTTAGCTGAGCTTAATATCAACAAAGGAATCTTTTGAATTCAGGGATAAATATTAAAATCTATTAAACGAATAGTAATTTTATATTGATTTGTCGATGTTTGGTGTTTACATCAGACAAACCTCTTCTTGATTGAATTCTCCAGAACCTTTTCGTCGGATTAACTTAATCTGTTAACCAATATAAGAAGCGGATTAACTTAATCTGTTAACCAATAAAAGAAGCGGATTAGTAAGTACGATGGTAGGCAATAATATCAATAAAATGAAGACAACTTTTTCATTTAAGTTTTTATTGTTAACAAACTTTTTTCGAATTACAAGTTAATAAAAAATCAAAGAAAAGCTTTTTTAATCGACAACTTCTCTTGACTTCTATGTTTATGTGTATCCATGCTGTTCAGCAGCTTGATATAAAAAAAATTAAAATCAAAAGTCGTCTTCAATTTTCCATACCTGTTGTAGTACAAGGTCTTCTAGGTTCTCCAGTTCCTTCAACTTACTTGGTTCAACGTTTTCCTTGGTGACACACAGCGCCATATATCTTTTGCGGCAAAACTTTGAATTAAAAAAAAAAAAACTTGACAGACATTATTTGTTATACAAAGCTGCGTTTTATGTATGTGTAATTTTAGAATAAGTTTTTCCCCACATTAGTGAGGAAACACTTTGAGGACGCATTCTTCAATGTACGTCTTACTATTGGTGCGTCCGTATAATTGCGTCCTATTGCATCCTGATTCAATTAGTGAGGAAACACTTTGAGGACGCATTCTTCAATGTACGTCTTACTATAGGTGCGTCCGTATAATTGCGTCCTATTGCATCCTGATTCAATTCTTGCTGATATGATATGATATGCAAGTGGCCTGAACTCTGAAGTCGGAACTTATGTGTTGTGAATCTAGGGATCAGGTATTGATCTCAACTACAATAGATACGATTTAATTTATTCCTCTTGGATATCCCGTGATGGTAGGCCTGTAGGGATAATTTTATTAATTGATGGATAAAGCATTGATCCTTAAAATTTGAAAGTGCTCATATGATTTAGAGATCAAGCGTTTCACATTGATATGACTCCACACAAATGTTCCAAACTTTTTTTCAAAAATTTTCTTCCCAATGGGAAAAAATAAAAATGATTATTTTTAACTTTGAAATTCAAAGTTTCCTTTTTCTTTTTTCTTCTTCTCCTTGCTTCAAACTGCAATATTTTTTATGTATATATATGTTAATCCTCGAAATTTTATCATAATAATCTTTATTTTTCTAAAAAAATATTTTAGTCAGATTATTAAAGAATAATAATAATTTAAAACTTTCTAGTTTACTTACATCTTAATTGAAGCTTTTGATACTATATCTATAGAGTTAACTTGGACAGCCTAGGAAGACGAGAATAGTTTATAATCTTAAAAGTATTAAAAAAAGAATTTTACTGTTGGGGTTCTACAGTTATTAACGAGGAAATAGAATTTTGAGAATAAAGTCTAAGGGAATTTAGATAAAGCTTAGAGTGACCTTCCAAGCAAACTGCATAGAAAGGGATGTCCAATTCACAATAATACCCTTCAAATATTTATCTTATCACTGACTTGCGGATTTATGTTGCATTGCCAGTAAAGAAAATTGTCAGAATTTTACACTATTAGACACCAAAAAGACGAAATCTTCCTCATGGTAACTTATAAAAGAATTAATAGTAACCGTTGTAAATGAGATATACCAATGTATGGTCCCATATAATATTACGTGTACAGTCCCTTTAAAGGAAACCAAAAACTTTCTTAACACAATATAAATCTATTCCTTCCTCGTGATGTGAATTAATAAAATTCTCTAATTCTACTCGGTCTTCTGTACTCAGCCGGGTCTTCTTAGAGTTGATACACTCAAATGCAAACGGCCTTCCAGTTCCTAGATAATGAATCGGAGATGAAAACTCTTCTATTGGATACCTCTGTTGGACTATGACCGAGGAGAGTTCCGAGGGGGGGGGGGGGGGTGGATAATTTATGATGATTTGGAGCGCAACGAATGAAAAATTGGGCGCCAAAAGGCATTTTTTACTCTTTTAAATATTTTTAACCCAAAAATCCATTTACCTTCACAAATTCAGCGAATATTACCCTAATTTCTTTTAACATATGTTTTCTAAACATTACTTTTTACTGAGTCAGTTCTCCTATTTCAATTGCGTCAACTTATTAATTGTGTAAATTTTTTTTTGAGGAATCTGGAACTTAAATCAATGTTCAGATACCTTTATTTGAAATCCGATCAACAGGTTGAACCAAATTAAAATATATTTGTGTAAATTATGTCAACTATGTAAGATATGTAAAATATGTAAAATATGTAAAATATGTAAAATATGTAATATATGTAAAATATGTAAAATTTGTCAACTATGTAAAATATGTAAAATATGTAAAATATGTAAAATATGTAAAATATGTAAAATATGTAAAATATGTAAAATATGTAAAATATGTAAAATATGTAAAATATGTAAAATATGTAAAATATGTAAAATATGTAAAATATGTAAAATATGTAAAATATGTNCCCCCCAGGGGTGTATATTTGCTCGAAAAATAATATTTAGCGTAATTCTTAAAAATTTAAACCACTGGTACACCCCTGTTTTCCCCTAACACGATGTATAGATACCTTTAATCTATCTCCAATAATTTCCTCCACGCTTGTTTCACATTTCCGAACACCTACAGGTATTTTTAAATTTTTATAATGAATCAAAAGAAAATCTCGAAATTAAGTTTTCTGTTGTTGTATAAGATCAAATAAATATATTTTTAATATCTAAAGAGTTTACAGAAAGGGTCCATGGCAGACTACCATAGACTTGTCTCCCACCCCTTTATTTACACTTAACTGGGATAATACATTGGAACTTAAACGAAGGGAGCTCAAGCCTGAAATCTCAGATTGAAGAATTGACAGTTAATATTATTATTGTTATTATAATTATTATCATTATTATTTTTATTATTATTAAAGGGGTCTCACCATTTATAAGCCAGGGTGTCTGGGGTAGTTCTCTTGTATATTTACAATATCGTCCTCCAACATAGATACTATTCCTATGAAAAATATGCTACAGTATTGTCGTACATATTAATACAATGAAGACGACTTTAGATTTAAATACTTTAACAGCTTCTCTTTGTTTACTTGTAAACTTGTAACTTGAAAAAGCTTGTTAGAAATCAAAATATAAATAGAGAAGTCTCCTATATTGTATTGATATTAACGCCGACCATTGTACATTATATAATAAAAATTCTTCAACCCCTAGATTATTACCTTATGTGCCCTATCCCTGTACTCCCTGGGACAGATCTTCTCCATGACCTGGATCTCCTCCTCGTCCTTCCACCACTGGATCACCAGCTCAACATAGAAATCTGCTGTATCTCCGTTCTAGATATTTTCACTGTTTAAAAGCTGCAGTTTAAAGGGACTGTAAACGTTATTTTAAGGGACCCTAGCTGGCAATGCCTTTTTAACATCGGTTCTCTTGAAAGTTTCGACTGATCAAGGATAAATTAGATATCAATGTTTTTGTTTCTTCAAACTATTTATTTTCATTTCGGTTTCTCTGCGAAAGTGAATTTCACATTTCTTGTTTACGAGAAGCAAAGGAGAAATTCATACAAATAAAAAACTTATTCAGTCAGAAAAATGATTTTTGATTTTTGATCAGATTTAAGTTTCAAGGGAAGGGTCACTTGAAAATACGCTACAGTCCCTTTAAAAGCTGGTTTAAAGGGACTTTGACCCTAAATCTAAAGATGGCAATGCCCGATTAACAACGGTACTCTTAAACCTTTATCTAATCAATAATGTGAAAGATATCGTTATTTTCTAAGTTTAAAGGTGTTACTTCTAATAATTCCCAAAGGTTTTTGTAGGAGAAATGCGCAAGACGCTTTTGTAGAAAACCCAAATTTGTACATAATCAGTTTTAAAAATCATAAGCAATGATGTCAAATTTTTAATTGATTAGACAAAGTTTCTTACTTTTTGAAAGTACCTTGTTTATTTTCAAAGAGGTATATAATATTTAGAAAATCAATCACCCGGCCGCTTCAAAATCTCACTTTAAAGGGAGTATAGACTAATTTTAAGTGACTTTTCAGTTATAGAGTCCGATTAGCTCTGTCTAATCATGAATGCATGAACTATCAATCATCTTTTCTTTAAAAGGTGATTATTTTCAGTTATGAACAGAAACAATGAAGAAAGATGTCAATTTAAACTAATTTTTAAACGAGAAAAAAACATTATCTTCCACTTTTTGGATCAAAAAAGGTTTAAAGGGCACAGTTGTGAATCAGGCATGCACCTCTTTAACTAGGAAGTCACTTAAAAATACAACAACAGTCCCTTTAAGTACTGTTTATAACTATAAAATCAGCCATAAAAGGGTTCCATTGACAAAAAAAAATTACCTCGTGTGTGAGTCCAACTTGTGATGAGACTAGATCTGGATAAATATATTTCCAGATTTGTTTAATAGGAACAATATCCTCCTGGTCAAGCTTAGAACTCAGTTCAGGGGCCTCACGCTCTTTATAAATATCAGTTAGTTTGACAGGGATGAATATTACTGGAGGGGGGGGAGGGGATCCAGATAATACAACACAGTTTAATAAAGTGAACAAGGGTAGACAGAAAAGAAGAATATTAAAAAAATGATTATCTGCATTATAAACACGTATCAATTACAAGTCCCTTCAATATTGCAATTTGTAAAAAACATAAAAATAAAAATCCAAAATTTGTAAAAAAAAATCCTTGAAAGATGAACTTTTATGTTAAAGAGACTAAAACTGTTTCTTTTCATGTGTGATGTGTTGTTTCTCTGCAAAAGGGAATTGTGCATTCATTGCTTGTGAAAAACAATCGAAAAAATATCAAAATGAAACACTTTTTCAAACCAACAAAACCCAGAAAAACGATAGAGGGTCACTTAAAATAAGACTTACAGTCCCTTTGGACCTGAAAAAAGGATGGAAAAACTTGGCAGTGGATGTCCTATTTTTATTAGAAATTTATTAGAATTTATTAGAAATTTATTAGAATTTATATTTATTAGAACAAACTAAATTTCATCGAACAACTCAAACAGTATAAATTCGCTTATGATAAAAATTTTAATGAAAAATTATCCTCTTTAAAATATACAAACATTGAAATATGTGCGAGGAAAAATCATGTTATTACCAAGATGCAACCAAAGAGCATGTTGTCTGATAGACAGAGATATTGGTAGAGAGAGGGATAAAGTAAACCGTTCAGCATCATATCCAGACTCCTTTATCTGACCTATTATCTCCTCCATTCTAGAAAAACATCCTGAATCTGACCTATTATCTCCTCCATTCTAGAAAACATCCTTAATCTGACCTATTAACTCCTCCAATCTAGAAAAACATCCTTAATCTGACCTATTATCTCCTCCATTCTAGAAAAACATTCTTAAACGGACCTATTATCTCCTCCATTCTAGAAAACATCCTTTATCTGACCTATTAACTCCTCCAATCTAGAAAAACATCCTTAATCTGACCTTTTATCTCCCCCATTCTAAAAAACATCCTTAATCTGACCTATTATCTCATTCATTCTAGAAAAACATCCTTTATCTGACCTATTAACTCCTCCAATCTAGAAAAACATCCTTAATCTGACCTATTATCTCCTCCATTCTAGAAAAACATCCTTAATCTGACCGATTATCTCCTCCATTCTAGAAAAACATCCTTAATCTGACCTATTATCTCCTCCATTCTAGAAAAATATCCTTAATCTGACACATCATCTCCTCCATTCTAGAAAAATATCCTTAATCTGACATATTATCTCCTCCATTCTAGAAAAACATCCTTAATCTGACCTAATATCTCCTCCATTCTAGAAAAACCGATTTTGCGCTCTTATTTAAAGTATTGTTACACCGTAAAAACGTCTTATAGGTGTCAAATGATTTCTATAACTTTCTCTACAATACTGCACTGATGATTTTTACCGTTCTGTTAAATCTGATTGCTCTTTTATCAATTAAACCATTGCATAAATGTCGTCTTCCTAGACTAAAGTTTTATGGTTTCCACTGTACCTTGGCATCATATATGCATCCTGTAGAGTTCCTAAGCAGACAATACAAGGATTGGGTTTAAGTTTCTTCTCTGCGGGTTCTTCCTCTAGTCTCATTGTCTCAGCCTGGAGAAAAAAATATGAGATCCATTTCATGGTTAAAAAGATCTATTTCAAGATGGAGTTCAAATTGTGATAAAAAGGTTTGTTTTTAATCTTTCTGAAGAAACAATCTCAAGAACTGACGAGGGTCAACCCAGACCGAAATATATTTTCAATAAATGTGGAACTAACATCTCCTTTTTTACTCTACAGAGGTTTGGTCCATCACCATCACTGAATTTTAAAAAAGGTTTATGTGAAGACATGTAAGTTAAACATGAGATGGAGGTCAAATTGTGATAAAAAGGTTTATGTGAAGACATTTAAGTTAAATATGAGATGGAGGTCAAATTGTGATAAAAAGGTTTATGTTTTTAATCTTTCTGAAGAAACAATCTCAAGAACTGACGAGGGTCAACCCAGACCGAAATATATTTTCAATAAATGTGGAACTAACATCTACTTTTTTACTCTACAGAGGTTTGGTCCATCACCATCACTGAATTTTAAAAAAGGTTTATGTGAAGACATGTAAGTTAAATATGAGATGGAGGTCAAATTGTGATAAAAAGGTTTATGTGAAGACATATAAGTTAAATATGAGATGGAGTTCAAATTGAGGGATAAGACAAATTTGACAAAGAGTCAAGGAAAAAGTAAAAAAATAGCAAAAACAATGTTTAACCAAAACTATTGAAAAAATTGGAAAAAGATGAAATTGGACTGAACATTTAAAGGGAGGAATATGCAAGAAGTGGTGGGGGTGAACAGGGTTAAAGGGAGTGACCGGCTTAAATCTGAAAAATCAATTATTTTGTTATGCTGCACCTCGGTCTCTCAAAATTTAACTCGTAATCCTTGACTTATTGCAAACTTTCAAAACCTAGTAATATTCATCATATTGTAAACGTTTTAATATTAATTAGGTGAGGATAATACCCAAAACAGCAAATAGCTAATCTCCACCTAATTGCTATAATTACATAAATATAGTAAACAATATAAAAATAGTTGCAGATATTTTGCCTGTATCATTATAACTAGTATGTGTATTTTAAGCAATAAATGATATCTTATCTTATCTTATATATGGGAGTTGAACTGAAAATGCAGTTTTGTAAAGAATTTTTTAAAATTCAATTGATACCTATCAGACGTTTTTACTGTGCATACTTGTTCAGCAAGAGTCGAATTTTCGCTACACTTACGTTTTCCTCATTGAATATTTTGAAAATAACTGATCCTCAAAATCATCCCTCCAAAATTTACGATCTATGAGGATTTTAATGATTGAATTTGCGCTCTTGCACCGTAAAAACGTTTCAAATGATAGGTCTCAAATGAATACTAAAAAAATACTCTACAGTACAACATTCTCAGTTCAACTATCATATATTGCCGGTCACTCCCTTTAATCTTTCCCCCCTTCTACGATAGCTAGTTACCTTGTGCAGAGACTTGTATATGATGGAATGTTTAAAACCAAGGAAACGCTGACAACATTTTTCACAAGAACCTGGAGGAAATAACAAATCAAGAGTAAATTTAAAGAATTATCAATTAAAGATTTAAACAATAACTCTTTTAACATTTTTGCCCCCCCCCTAAACATTTTTAGGGGGGGGGATTCATTATTCATCCATAAATCAAATATGTCAGTGTTTAATATAATTTCACATTTCTATAGATTTTATTGAGTTTTTTTTGCCATTCTGTTTGAAGGATAGAAATATTTTGGGGTAAAAAATATTTTCCCCACAAGCGGAAATATTTTTAATTTTAACTGTTTTGTCTTAAATATTCTTAGGAATTTGTTTGTAATTTAAAGTTGCAGATTACGTAAATTTGCAAATTGCAAAATTTACAAAAATCAAGAACGATGCGAACCCGCCAGAAACAAAGTATTTTATTTTCAACTGACCTGCTTCCCGCAACACCTAAAAAATAGAAAAACTTAAAATTAAGGTCGCCTTATTATAAACAAAATTTCAAATTTCTATAGGGATTGTAAGCGTAATTTCAATTGACCCTCCATGCAAACATGTAAATGCTTGATTCAAACTTTGTAACCTTTATCAATAATGTGAATATGTCCTTTTTCTTGGTTTAAAAGTTTTTAATTCTGTTAATTCCTATATTTTTTCCTGCAGTATAATTGTTCACACTTGACCAAACAAAGCGTTTAATGGAACTATTTGTAATCTGACATTCCCACCTTTTCATAGAGGTCCATTTCAACTTACGCTTACTGTCCAGGGAGTAAGGAATAGAAGATATAACTGACGCGGTTCGCCCTACCATATGATTATACATGCTTTGCAGACATGTACTTCATTTGTATAAGAAATATTTGTCTGATGTACAATTACCGCGTATACAATAACCTATTTTGAATATTTCTTATATAAATGGAGTACCCGTCTGCAAAGCATGTATAATCATAAGGTAGGGTGAACCGCGTCAGTTTTATCTCCCTTCTATTCCTTACTCCCTGTTACTGTCCCTTTGTTGAAAGTTTTCCAAAACTAGGCCATCAAGAAAACTTTTGAAAATGTCAATTTCTAAAAAACTCTCCGCTAAAACATAAAAAAAATAAGTAAAATGTCATGGAGTTGAAATAATTGATTATTTGTCTTTTGGCGCTAAAGTAAGCGCCCAAAATCCCCAAAAAATCTTTCAGAACTTTTGTGCTTAGAATCTCGGGTTCAAGCATTGATCTCCATCTTGTGCACACCTACTGATTAGTTTAATTCCGCTTTAATATCTCGTAATGGTAATACCCTGTAGGGATAGCATAAAATTGAGGGATACAACGTTGGATATCAAGATCAAGCGTACAAGTTAGACGATACTCCACACACACGTTCTGACCTCAGAACAAGTTTTTTCCAAACCCTTCTTATGAATTTTAGAAACACTTTTTTAGAGTAATCTTCTGTATTACCTTAAGAATCCTTTCCTCCTCCTCAGTTGTCCAAATAGTCATTTTTCTGAAACTTTTATCACAATCCAATACAATTAGACCAAATGAAATAGAGAAAAAAACCTTTAGATTTTCAAAACTATTTTTTAAAATCGTATTTTAATTAAATTTCGCTATTATTGAATTTGCAGATTTAAAAAAAAACAAAGAAAATTGAAATAAAAATTAAAAATGTGTATATGCAAGTAATACGCCAGGAAATTAAATAGCTTTGCTGTCATACCGAGATTTGTTTAAATTGCAGTACGTTTTCTATGTAAACAAGTATTATTTCTGTTAAAACTACATAATTATAGCATTTAAAATTTAATTTACACAATTAGTAAAACAATTATTGTTCTGTACTGTTGAGGTGAAATTATGGGTTCTATTTGCTAAAAAAAATTCCATTTATAAGCAATATAAAAAATATAAATATTCATTTATTTATTGTTTATCTAATCAAATTTCACATCATGTCAAAACAAAACTTTTATTTGGAAAAAAGTTTTCACAAAATTGTGGAATTACAAGTTTTAGTAATGGAGCACTTCTGGAAGACAAAAGATAAATTACACATTTTACAGTGGCCGAATTTAAAGAATTTGAGCGGCGGTTTAAATTTAAGCCGCGGCTTAAATATAGTTGGTTCCACTTAAAATTGTATCAAATGTTTCAAGATTTAAGCTGGCACTTAATTTAAACCAGGTTTTGGCAGATTTAAACCGCGGCTCAAATTCTTTAAATTCCATCTCAGAAAAATATATTTTTTTGGAAGAAACTGAGAGATGTTGTGTTGAAAGCTTTTTTCTGTCTGGCTGGTTTAAATTATTATTCTATATTTGAATGTAAATATTTTCTATATTTACAATACATATTTCATACCCATGAATTTTGCTTTAGTGAAATGAAGACATTGGTAAATATTTCGACAAGCATTATAAGTAATATAACAATATAGTTTAAAGGGAGTGGTCGCTAAAAAGGGAAGAGGGTCTAGGAATTTCACGGACCTCACATGCAGTAGCCAAACCGGGTTCTCTCACGCGCTAATTTTCTTTAAAATTTAATTTTTCCCCAGAGCGCGCGGAGCGAATTTTTTTAAAAAGGTTTTTGGTTGTATTGAGGAAATCAATGATATTTAGGAGGAAATAAATTATTTTTTTGCTAAATGGTATTTAGAAATAAGAATTTATGAAGAAACTTGCTTTTAATGTTCAATTGGTGAGGAGTAATACTTAAAATTATCACCCATGCAGAATCATTTGATAGAAAATTTAATCGATTTCTAATTTGATTGTTCTTCAATCTTCACCCTATCCTCATTCTTAGCGAACACTCTCTTTAATTTACAAAGTAAAAATAAACAGATATAAATCAAATGCTTAGAAATTGCACAAGGTTATATATTAAATGCATGATTCAGGCTTCTTTAAAATTGCACTTTAAAGGCAGTTCACCATTGAGGTTCGAAACATCTAATCTTGTTAATCAGATCTAGTATATTTTATAATCGTGAAATTTTTTTTTATATATGTTCAATTTAATCATTAAAACAACAAAAAATGTAAAATATTAGAAACAAAAGTAAAAATATAGATGTGATGTAAAAGTGAACGAAAAAGTAAACAAATTATAATTTCATAATTTTAAGATTCTTTATTTTGGTTCAAAGAGAGAAGGCACCGGTGTGCACTGTACTGGGCAAAAAAAAAGCTGAAATGAGAGCCAGCTTTGAAGATTCTAGCATTGTACACTGTAGAGTATACAGCTAAGCCTATAAAAAAGCTAAAAAAATTGTCTAAATATAAAAACAAAAGGTTCAAATCCGCTCTGATACATTGTATAAACAAATTATTAAACTTAAAAATAAATGCGCTATAATTATAATAACAGTTAAAAAATATGCGTTAAAAAATATATTGATTCTAGCATTATTATTGTTGCAAGCCTTCGGTCTAAATCTCAGCCTCCCGTTTAAATTCTAGATTTCAGTTTTAATTTGAGATTCTGGTTTTAATTCCAGCCTCCTGTCAGCTTGTGAAATAGTTCAGTGTTTAAGGCTTGATTAGATTCCTTGGATCGCATTGACATAAATATATACCCACCTGAAATAAAGGAAATAAAATGACCTTTAAAACCCCATTATTTACAATATAAGTACAATCCTCCCCCCTAGATGTACATACACTTCTTTGATTTGTACCCTTCCAAGTATAATTTTGTCCTTCTTCTAAAACTAAAAACAGCCCGCCCCGTGACCCGTATAGTTAACCTCATGCCTCACAGTTCCGGCTAATTTTGAAAGACCATGACTTTCTTAATTTGCTAAATCTGCAAAATGCAGGCCAACAGGATGACTAAATGGCCATTGAAACTGTTTAAAATCCCATACTTCATAAAGAGCCTTTATCTCTTACTCCTCTAAAGTGTGCGGTCTAAAACCCCCCCCCCCCCCCCCCCCCCCTTGAAGCTAACATCTAATCTCAGCAATTAAAAAGGTACTGTTGGGTCTAGAGACTTATCAACATAAAACTAGTAAGAAATTCATACAAAAAAATAACAAAAATAATTACCTATAAACTCATGGACTACTTTACAATCTGCAGAGAGACACTGGAATATAATATTATCCTCCCCTGCACCTCCTCCCAGCTGGATCATCATATAGCCTGTCTCCCAGTTCACATTCCAGGCCTAGATATTAAACTTTGCACATTTTTAGGGTTAAAGGAACTGTTTATGAAATTCTTTGAGATTCTCCAGTTGACTTAAACTACAGGAATGAAATGCTACAATGACACAAGGAAAAGAATGCTAAATGAAACAAGAAGTGGAATGCTAAATGGCACAAGAAATTGAATGCTACTTCACAAGGAATGGAGTGCTTCATGACACAAGGAATGAAATGCTTCATGGCACAAGAAATGAAATGCTACATGACACATGGAATGAAATGCTACATGGCACAAGTAATAAATGCTACATGACAAAAGAACTGGAATGCTAAATGGCACAAGATATTGAATGCTACATGAAACAAGGAATGGAGTGCTTCATGACACAAGACATGAAATGCTACATGAAACAAGGAATGGAATGCTACATGACAAAAGAAGTGGAATGCTGCACGGCACAAGGAATGGAGTGTTTCATGACATGAAGAGCTACATCATCTACATCAAGATATGAAGAGCTACATGCAGCTTTTTATTACCTTTATCGTACTGTATCTCCAAGAAGTAAGGTAGTCGCCAGATAAAAGGTTCATCCGACTTATTCTAAAATTATCAGTCAATTATGAAATTTTAAATAATAATAATATTTTATCTTTTTTAAAAAAATGATAATTTCTGGTCACAAATCTTCTGGAAAACGACCTTGGTAAATCTTGAAACAAAGTAGAACAAGAATTTTAATCAGTCAATCTTTTTAGATACCGAATTTCAGGTGGTGTATATTTTCTCGAAAAATAATTTACCCCCCCCACCACCCCCGCCCTTTTAAAAAATATTCTTTCCACAGAAGTTCTGTTTTGCGCGGAGCGGCAAAAAATTTCAAAAGTTTTTTTTTAAGCTGAATTGAGGACAATAATTTAATTGCTGGGTAAAAAGTAAAATTTGCCTTTTGAAATTATTCACCCCCTCCCAAATTATCAAAAATCATTTCCACACCCCTAGAACCGAAGGGTTGTTCTGAAAAATATACACCCCTGTACCTGAATTTAGAGTACGTGAATTGTCAATCTATATGTAATGTTTTTTTTAAGAATTTTACTAAATTTTCACCTGTTAAAAGATATTCCTAACAACTCTTCTCTACGTTCCCCGTGGAACTAAATAAAAAAGATTAATATAATTTCCAATTTCCAATTTATAATTTCTTGCTGAACAATTGTTATTTTTATTGGCAAACACTCCATAATTCATTGTTTGCGCAAACCAAAATATAATTTTCTGAACTAAAAAAATTAACTTCTTTCTGAAAAAAATGAAAAAAAGAAAACACGAAAAAATACTTAAAGTGTAATTTCATGGTCCCCATATGTGTTAAAAATTATTTTACTGATCATATGCACTTTTCAGTGTGTACTGTGTACCCCTCTAAATATTCAAAGACGCTCCGCTAATTATTCACCATTTTTTTATTTCTCTTCAAATGTATATACAAAGTTGTTTAACTAATCAATTAGTTTAATAAAGATAACAATTGTATTACTTTAACAACAAAGAGAGAAACTCCATACTCGGGCAAGGACTGCCAGGCCTGAAAATAGAAAAATAAATGAAAACATTCTCTGAAATTGTAAAACTAGAAGCTGGCTTATTTCATCTTCAAACTAGACTGATTGAAAAGACACTACAACTGTCCGACAGAAATACTTTAATCTGAGATGGAATTTAAAGAATTTGAGCCGCGGTTTAAATCTGCCAAAACCCGGTTTAAATTAAACACCGGCTTAAATCTTGACACATTTGATACAATTTGAAGTGGAACCAACCATATTTAAACCGCGGCTTAAATTTAAACCGCCGTTCAAATTCTTTAAATTCGGACACTGGCCTCTTAAAGGGAAGGTTGACAAAATTTCAAACGATTCAACAGTTTGGAGCACTACATCAATGATTCAAAACAGTACATTAAAAAGACCATTATCTTATTAATAATGTGGAAGATATCTGTTAAAAATTCTGTTTTCTTTCATTGTCTTAGCAAGATACTTTTCAGAGAATTTTTTCAGGCCATTTAAAAATTGTAAGCGTAATTTCAAGTGACTCTCTATTCAAAGATGGCAATGCCAGATTCACAATGGTTCCCTTAAAAGCTTTGTCTGATTAAATTAGATAAATTAGACCTCCGTCCTCCATGTTAAAAATTGGAAAAATTGATTATATTTACTTGTGGTTTCTCTACAAAGTGTCTCAGTTTGTAACACTTTTTAACCTATAAAAGACCATATCTTGCACATTATTGATCTGAAAAAGGTTTCAAGAGTACTGTTGTGAAACGGGCATTGCCATCTTTTCATCGAGGACCACTTGAAAACAATCTTAACGTGTCTCTAAAAAATTAATTTTATTCTAAACAATTGTTATAATTTACCTTAATGAAGTTCATCTTGGACTCAATGAGGTTGAGATCCTTGACATTAGAGTGCGCTTCTAGAATTCTTGATCGACATTTATTTTTGCCGCGCTTCTTTATAAACCTTCTCGCAACATAGTCCTCAACATCGATATCTATAAACAAAATAATATTTATTTTTGCTGCGCTTCTTTTAAACCTTCTCGCAACATAGTCCTCAACATCGATATCTATAAACAAAATAATATTTATTTTTGCCTCGCTTCTTTATAAACCTTCTCGCAACATAGTCCTCAACATCGATATCTATAAACAAAATAATATTTATTTTTGCCTCGCTTTTTTATGAACCTCCTCGCAACATAGTTCTCAACATCGATATCTATAAACAAAATAATAATTGGCTTGTATGTTGGATTAATTGTTACATATGTATAGAGTCCATAACTTCTGTGTATTAGGCCCATAACTTCTATTCAAATTCTTCAATAAAAAAGGGAAACTTGTTAAATGTAATCTTTAAATAAAAATATATACAGTAAAAGAAAAGTTTGTAGATATGTCAGCAAAAATATGTTAAGATTTGATAGAAATAACTATGAAGTTGATAGCCTACCTAGTGTGTTGGGATTGATAGCTGGAACATGTGCAGGACGTTGCATTTGATAGAAATAAATATCAAGTTGATAGCCTACCTAGTGTGTAGGGATTGATAGCTGGAACATGTGCAGGATTTGCATTTGATAGAAATAACTATCAAATTGATAGCCTACCTAGAGTGCTGGGATTGATAGCTGGAACATGTGCAGGATGTTGCATTGATAGAAATAACTATCAAGTTGGTAGCCTACCTAGTTTGTTTCGATTGATAGCTGGAAGATGTGCATGATGTTGCATTTGATAGAAATAACTATCAAGTTGGTAGCCTACCTCGTGTTTTGGGATGGATAGCTGGAACATATGAAGGATTTGCATTAAATAAAAATAAATATCCAATTGATAGCCTACCTAATGTGTTGGGATTGATAGCTGGAACATGTGCAGGATGTTGCATTGTTAGAAATAACTATCAAGTTGGTAGCTTACCTAGTGTGTTTGGATTGATAGCAGGAAGATGAGCAGGATGTNTTAGGGGTCATTGGGAGTATATATTTAAAAAATGGGCTATTTATGTCCAACGAGGCCGGAGATAAAAAATCGGAGCCGACGGAGGTCACTTTTCAGAGGTTCCAAGACTCCGGAAAGAGATATCGACAATCTGACTTCATATCCTGCTCCTAACAAATTATATGAGTCTACGTTCAAAAATAGAACCGGCTGCTATTAATATTGAAAGAGATATTACAAAATGTCTTACTTGACACGGGTTCTTTAATTTGAAAATCACAAAATGAATAAAAATTAAAAACCTGATCATATGATGCATCCGCTAAAGTTTTTCCTTTAGCTCCTACTCGACATGCTCCCATCCACTTCAAAATTAAATATTTTTGTCTTCGTCCAAATTAATGTATTAAGTACATATTAGCCTCGAAACCATGAATTAATGTATTAAGTAAATATTAGCCTCGAAACCATGAATTAATGTATTAAGTACATATTAGCTTCGAAACCATGAATTAATGTATTAGGTACATGTTAGCTTCGAAACCCTGAATTAATGCATTAAGTACATATTAGATTTAAAATATGATAACTAAGATTTCCAAGAAAATATGAAGACTGGAGGGGGTTATGAATTTTCCATAGCTTAGGGAAAAAAATTTAAGCGGTGCAAAAAAAAACACAAGGGTAAACAAATTTGTGATGATGGATGAGACAGAGGGAGGTTGAAAGATTTCGCGGTTGTCATGATGAGAGGCTTTGCACCGTGCAGTGTCGGTTGCAGCATTTGAAGTGTCTCTCTTGGCAACCTGGCACTACTAGCATTTGAACCCACCATACAGAAGCCTCTAACTTCCTGGGACTGGGAGAAATCAAAGAACCAGAACCAAAATGAAACCAAAACAAAGGGGGGGGGGGAGTAATCCTTACCTGGGCATACTGAGACTCATTCTCACACCGGAGCCAGAGATCACTCATCCCGTCCGTACTTGGAACTGACAGCTTTATTCCGTATCTACACTGCTGTATATTCACGTCAGGGACTACCTCACATCCTGGAGTACAATCAATCAATCAATCAATCAATCAATCAATGAATAGATCAATGAATCAATCAATCAATGAATAGATCAATGAATTTATTAATCAATCAATAGATCAATGAATCAATAAATCAATCAATGAATTAATTAATAAATCAATGAATCAATTAATCAATCAATGAATAATTAATCAATTAATCAATGAATCGATTAAATCATCAACAAATGAATACATTAATTGAGCTATGAATGAATGACTGAATCAATGGTGAAGGAATAAATCATAAAAGGATGAAAGTAAGGATGAATTATTGAATAAATGTTCAATCTATTAATCAATCAATGAAACAGTCATTCTTTCATTCAATTAATTAATTTAAAATCAATCTATCAATTTAATAATAGAATAATCATTTACTCACATTCACAATATTCATTTCAACTGGTCAAAGTAATTTTCTAACAATATCAGTTCATCAAATAAAATAAAAACCAAATAAAATCTATAAAACTTACTGCATGTCTCTAGAAAAAATCATATGAAAGAAGATCGATCAATTATCGAATAGTCACCTTTAAGATGAACTGAGATGGATGGTTCCTGTCCATAATCCTGATAATCTTGAATATTCTTCCAACCTATATTCAGGTATCCATTATAGGGATGTAATTCAAGAAATCCTCCATTTATAAAGTTGTCCAATTCACAACGGTGGCCTTAACCGCGTTGTCTAATCAAGAATGAGATTGAGATAGTCATACTTCTCATTATAAATCAGATGAAGGTTTAATATGGTTCTTTTGTGAATCGGGTGGAGTGTCGCATGAACTTCAAGTTATTAAATTCAGCAAAGATATCTTATTTATCGTTAACCTTTTACCTTGAATCTGACAATCTCTGCACACAAAGTAACATGTTTTTAATCCCTGGTAAACATTATCATCAAATTAATGAAGAAGAAAACATTTCATAACAAACAAACAATTAAAATAAAACAGAATTTTTCAATTTTAAAGTTGTTTTAAAAAATTTATGAAAGTTTAATGATCTCTCATTGGTCTAATTTGAAGTTCTTTATTTCTCATTGGTCCAATTTGAAGCTCACTATTTCTCATTGGTCGAATTAAAAGTTTATTAATCTCTAATTGTTCCAATTTTACAACTATCAAAGATGAGACTCATTACAAAGGAGTAAAACTCAGGGACGTACGAGGGGGGGCCGCGCCCCCCAGCCCCCCCCTCTACGCGTGCCCCCTGAGAGGCTGAGGGGGGGCACCCATGGGAGAGGCTCTTTTATTATTACATCTGCTTGCATTTCCCTTCCTCAGGTCAGGCATAGTGGTGTACCTAGGGGGGCAGTAGTCCTCTTACCCCCCTGGGAGTTCCAAAAATAAAAATTAAAAGGAAACTAGGTTTAGAAAGTAACACCTGACAATGACAAAGACTAAGGATTTGTCTAAATTAACTGTTAATACAAGGAGAGAAAAGTTTTAGCCTTCTAAAGAGAATACTTCATTACACAAGATGTACTATGGCGGAGAGCAGACTTAACGATCTTGCACTTATAGCTTTACACCCTATAAGGCTGTTTGAGCTCTCTACTGAAAAAAGTCATTGAAATGTTTGTGCAAGCAAATCCCAGAAAATTGTAGCTTAAAAGATTTGGTGAATGGTGAATATGTAGATTGAGTAAATTCTATCTAAAAACTTTCAGAAGAAATTTCGTTTATTAGTAAAAATATAATTTTTAATGATGCTGTGATTATTGATTTAGTTAGCTGTGATGGAGTTAAGTGATAAAAAAGTTAGTTTTTCAAGCAAAGGAATAATTTTTAGACTCTAAGGTTAGTAAGTTAGTAACACCCAAAAATGTAGTCTTTTTAGTGTATTTTTATGGTGAACAAAACAAGTTCAGGTGGGAGGGGGGGCATAATTTTTTTGCGAGCTTACGCGCGCAAATTGTGCCCCCTCCTAAACAAAAGCCCTCGTACGCCCCTGGTGAAACTCCTACATTTTATCTAAAATTTACTAGCTTCAGACATATCCATTTATTTAGAATAATAAAATAAAAATAAAATAGCATTCCGAGTTTCTATGATACAATATTTAATGTTAAGTTGATGAAATGCCTTGAGTGTAAATCTTCTTGGTTTAATATATTTAAGAAATCCTGCCAACTGAGGAACTGAAGTTACATCTACAAATATTAAATATCAAACGAAAGGTATCGAAGACACTATCCACATTATTTCAAAGAGTTTCATTCCGGAAAATAAACATTTAAACCAGTGCTTAGGATCCATTTAATTTTAATGTGGATCCAGATCCGGATCCTGGATCCGCACTGGAAAAACATGGATCCGGACCCAGAACAAGGTCACGAACATTTCTTTAAGATTTACTGAATTTTTTGAATTGAACAAAGCAGAATTGTCAAATTATTTTTTGCGATTATTTTTATACTAAAACTTGATGAAAAATTCAGATATCAAAATTGATATCTTGATATTTTGCCCCTTGGATCCGGATCCAAGAAGCCAAAATCTTGTGGATCCAACGGATCCAGATTGTAAGGACTGATTTAAAAATCTATCGGAGACAATTTTCTTTGTGTAAATCTTTTCCCGTGTCATCTGTTTAATGGATTATTGCAATATTTTTGTGACCTTCTTCTTGGTTTTAATAATAGTGCCTTAAAATCCAAAATTCACGTTAAAAGAGAAAAAAATCATTATAATTCTTTAATTTTGAGATAGAAAAACTAGAATATCTTATCATTTTAGATCTTACAACCGCCATCAACTGTTACCTGTATGATCACTAGGCTGACAACCTCCGTCAAGAGAGATCTGAAGTTCATTAAGAGCAGATTCTACATCATCCTCATCCTCCTCTGTAGGCTGGGGGACATTCACCTGTAATCCAACCTAAACAAGGGGTTTCAAACTACTTTAAAGGTTCGTTAACGTAATTTTAAATAAATTAATATGAATCAATCTGTCAATCAATCATACTTTTAGGGACGCCCTATGAGCACAACACAATCCCAACATGACTTTACTAAGCTGAGATTGAAATAAGGGTTTACAATTGCAAATGAAGCTATTAAGTCCTTTTAATAACATTCTGCTAATAGTAATCTATTTATTTTTCAAATTTTGGCTGTACTAGGAGAAAGGGTAAAAGGTTAGGGTAAATAATAGGAGAAAGGGCGAAAGGATCGGAAAAAGGATGAATAAATAGGTAAAGGATGAAAGGATTGATTCATAGGAGAAAAAGCAAAAGAATGGGTAAAAAATGAAAAAATATGAGAAAGAGTGAAATGATAAATAAATATGAGAAAGGGTGAAATGATGAATAAATAGGAGAAAGGGTGAAATGATGAATAAATAGGAGAAACGTGAAATGATAAATAAATAGGAGAAAGTGTGAAATAATGAATAAATATGAGAAAGGGTGAAATTATGAATAAATAGGAGAAAGGGTGAAATGATGAATAAATAGGAGAAAGGGTGAAATGATAAATAAATAGGAGAAAGGGTGAAATAATGAATAAATATGAGAAAGGGTGAAATAATGAATAAATATGAGAAAGGATGAAATAATGAATAAATAGAAGAAAGGGGGAAAGGATGGGATGAAGGATGAATATATATGAGAAAAGGCAAAAGGATGGGAGAAAAGATGAATAAAGTGTAAATGTTTGGGATAAATGATGAATAAATAGGAGAAAGCGTGAAAGGATAAATAAATAGGAAAAAGGATAAAATTAACAAATAATTGACTGAACCTGAAGTTGAAGAGCTGAAAACAAATACTGTTCCTCTTCTGTACAGTCAATCTCTTCGTTCAATATTTGCCATTTTGCCTAGAAAGTAGAGCTTAGAGAATAGATAGAAGAGATTATATTGTAGAAAATTGAGATTTAAAAGCAAGTAGATTTAGGAGAGAGTAGAGATTTAAGAGAATGAATATATTGCAGGCAATAGAAGTTGAAAAAATTTATGAGATTCCAAAAGTAGGGAGTAGAGATTTAGAGATTACAGAGAGTAGAAAGTAGAGAGTAAAGAGTAGAGATTTATGAGATTTAAGAGATTCCAGAGAAAAAAGAGAATAAAGAGAAGATATTTAAGAGATTCAAGAGATTCCAGAGAATGGAGAGTAGAGGTTTAAGAGATTTATGAGATTCCAGAGAGTAGAGATTCAACAGATTAAAACCTTTCCCTGCTGGGTTACTTAAGAACCAGGATACGCAGTGGGGAGGGGAGGTCAATTTGACCACCCCCCCAATGTCAGGTTTGATGTTCAAATATGACAAATTATAAGTTGGAAGGGTTTTATGCTCTACTTTTAGAATCTGCAAATCTGATTTTTTCTGCAAGATCGAGTTATTTGCTGCAAATGTTTGCCAAAAAAATGTCCAAAAGATGATAAAATATACATATTTGAAATGCCCTTGACCATGCCATTTCAAATATGCAAAATAATGAGCAAAACTTTAAATAACCTACTGTGTAATTAGGAAAAACTCAAATGTGCAAATTTCTTTCGACGGGTGGTATGCAAATAATTTAGAAAATTTCTTTGAAAAACTTGTGCAGTCCGTTTCCTTATGTTATAAGCTTTCAAAAAAGCAAAAAAAAATATCAAAATCTAACAGCTGAAAGTGGGTCAAAACAAAGATTTAGTTTGTTATAGGAAAAAGTAGTCATTCAGGCAGTATGCATGAGGACTCAGGCAGTTGGTGTAAAGCCCGGTTTTAGATCTAAAGGGAGGGCTATTGGTATTTAGGAAAGGTCAAAAAATTTCAACAGACTCAGACTAATACTTTTTGAGTTATGTAAAACTACAGGGGGGTGGGGAAATTGACCCCTCCCCCAGCAGGAATAGAGTTAAGAGGTTCCAAAGAGCAGAGAGCAGAAAGTAGAGATATTAGAAAAATCATTTTTTTAACAATGGAAAAATTGTCTATGAATTATTTTACCTGTTCATAAATCAGATTTATTCTTACTGGGTCTTCTTTGGGGTTCAAATCATAGAATGAGTAGTACTTATATCTGAACAAAAAAATAGTAATTTGTCTATTTTATATTTTTGTTATATAATATCTAAATAATTTCGCTTTGTAATACATTAAATCTTTTTGCAATTACTTCTTTTTCATTCTTATAACATATCACAAGCAACATGAGCATAAGAAAGGCAAGGGGAACACAAGAGCAAAGATAAGCAAAAAAAAGAGTATAAAAAGGACAAACAAAGATCGAGCAAAAGCAGTCTGCGAATACCAGACACAACGAAACTAAGTAATACAACGACGACATTTTATACATTAGTTTTCTGGATGCTGTATTACAGTTTTGACTTTAAAACTCACAAAATTCAGGGGATAAAAAAGGAAAATAGCATCTTCTTCCAGATTATATCTCTTGTACCCATAAAACTGTTGAATACTGAAGTCAAAACATGTATGGACCCATCTTAATTAATAACTTGATTTCAAGCTACTGATCAAATTATTTGCTTTATTACAACCCTAAATGCCCTGCTTAAATGTCGTCTTCCTATTCCACAGTTTTATGGGTCCCTCTGTAGTGTGTTTATCCACCGCTAACCTGAGTAGAAGTGTATCGAACTCCGCTACCCCCTGTTCCATTATACTAAGACTAGAATCCAACCATCCAACATTCATCCTTGCTCGCTCTACAAGGGTCTTGGGTTTAACAATGGTCTCCTGAAAAACAGTGGTTTAAGAAGGGAATACCAACCAATCAATCAATCAATACAATACATCAATCAATGTTTTAAAAGGGATCCATATAAATCAATCAATCCAACACATCAATCAATCAATGTTTTTAAAGGGATCCATATAAATCAATCAATCCAACACATCAATCAATCAATGTCCATATAAATCAATCAATCCAACACATCAATCAATCAATGTTTTAGAAGGGATCCATATAAATCAATCAATCCAACAATCAGTCAATCAGCTAATCACTATCTTCAATGGATTTTCCTATTGTTAACTACGACCAAACAAATTAAATGTTTCGAGTCCATGATACAATGGATAGGTTTTGAAGTTTTCTGGACCAAACGCTGCGGCTACATTAGAAGACTTATCACTGCACTTTAAACACAATGAACATGAGGGAAAGTGTGATTAGGGTAACGAAGATTTTAGAAAGTGGTCACTTTGGTATCTGTCTAAAAAATTGTCTTCTTGTCTGTGTCTTACATTTATAAGCGGAACCATAATGAGATTGTTTTATTAGTACTATTTACAATATTTCTTAAAAGCTTTAAAGAGAAAGTGCCAGCGTAATCTTTACTATAAAGCTCTTCGCTCATATACAACATCCATATGTTAACTGCGGCTGGCCAACGGCTGGACCAAATTGGCTGACGTTTTTTGAGGTAACCATGGGTACCCTTGGGGTATGGAAACTGAAATTTTTTTCTTCTCAAAATTCGATTTTTCTCTTTAATGTTTTTTTTTTTAAATTCAACGAGCAACTCCGGGCACTTCAGCTAGCATCTTATAAACTGACCTTTGCTTCGTCTGTAGGTGGTGGAGACATTGCTAAACTGAGACAGCTTCCGGATCTGTTATTTAGTTTAGGGGTTCCTATACTCAGAGTTGATCTGTTACTTATTTTCCTAAAATATAAAAAATCTAAACTATGACAGATTCAATATCTGTTATTCAGTTTAGAGGGTTCCTATACTCAGAGTTTATCTGTTACTTATTTTCCTAAAATATAAAAAATCTAAACTATGACAGATTCAATATCTGTTATTCAGTTTAGAGGGTTCCTATACTCAGAGTTTATCTGTAACTTATTTTCCTAAAATATAAAAAATCTAAACAATGACAGATTCAATATTTAGTTTAGGGGGTTCCTAAATTATAATACTGCTTGTTATCGAGGATTTTCTAAATGGAATCGAACATTTCTTGTCATAAAAGTTATCAAGCTGCTATCTAGGTTATCCCTACCCATTCCCATTTGTGAATCATTTATGGCACTGTTAAAAAAAAATGTCCCTCAAAAAAGCATCTTTTAAGTTTGTACATTATACCTATGCATTGGTGATGCACTTGTACTTTTTCTCCTCAGGGTCTCAGAGTTAGAGATAAATGTGTTGGTATCTTGTCTTGGACTGATTATATCATTTAATTATTTATTCATATTGGGACAAACTCAAACTCAAACTCAAACTCAAACATTTCAAACGTCAAACTTCAAAAATTAAAACTTCAATAATCTTGAAACTTGAAACTTCAACTCAATTTTAAACTTCAAACGTCAAACGTCAAAAGTCAAACGTCAAACATCAAACGTCAAACGTGAAACATCAAACGTGAAATGTCAAACGTCAAACCAAATTTCAATCTTAAATCTTCATTCTTCAAAGTTCAAACATAAAACTTAAAAGGTAAATGATTTCCTCATGGTTGCAACGGTGATTCTTCGTGTCTTAATCTCTTCCTTCTTCAGAGTTCCGTAATTGTACTTTAAATGGTCAGATTCTACACCCTGGAACAAAGAGTTTAAAATTAAAAAAATATTTTAAACATTCCAAGGTCAGAACTTTCTCAATCTTTCATTGATATGGTATGTGTGCAGTTTTTGAAGGGATTGCTATTAAAAAAGTTGATTTTTATACATTAAATAACCTTAATAAATGAAAGCTCCTCTGGATGTCTGATCTCCAATTCTCTGCACAGGGTTACCATTGCACTAAATATATATATATATATTTCAGTTTTTAACTTCACATTTTTTTTATTAAAAAAGAATTATACTAAACATAATGTTTAACGTCTATCATGACGATCCTCAGTAGTCAAAATTCTTTGAACAACTCTTGTTACATATAGTTTTATAAGGCTTTTAAGGCTTTTAAGGCGCTTCAGGTGCTAGCCCCCTTTACTATTAACAAGTTAAGCTTTGAACGATGGCTGATTCCAGTTTTTATCGTTCTCAAATTTTCATGGATTTTTTAACTTCAACAAGTCATAAACCTTTCCTGAGCCGGCGATTTAAAAAAATCATGAAAATACGACTCAGGTCTAAGCTATCATTGGGCCTTAATTACGACTTGAGCTTTTGGATTAAGTTGCATCTAATTTTCCACAAAGCTGAGTTCATAATTCCGGTTTAATATTGTATTTGGCGGATTTTCATGGTTTAATTGGCGCATTATCGCATTTTCGAGCATAAGATCTCGAATTGTCAATTACATAACACAAGCTGTCGTCAGTGTTGGGTCTTAGATAGAGTTTTAAAGCTGGGCTTAAGGAATTACGACCCGAGCCGAAACTTTTAAATCGTGGGCTCTGGGGTTCCTCAAAAATGTTTGGCTCGGTTGGTTCAGCCGTTTTTACGTTTATTGGATACATGCAAACAAACAAACACCAAAGTTAACATATAGATACACTAGCTTGGGAAGTGGGAACCCACCTTTGCCTGGAAATAAACTTTCTCTGCTACAGTCAACCCACACAATATGGAATTTAAAAACAACAATCTCGTGGTTTAACCGATTTCCTCAATCAAAACTCAGATTTTACTATAAATGTAATTCTTATCGACACATATTTACTGAAAGAAAAGTAATACAAAAATAAAACTTACGTAAAACTTTTAGCTGAGAAGTCCACTCTACAGTCAGTATAACGTAGATCCGGTAATTGTACTCGTAACATCTTGTGCAGGCATGGGGTTTATCTTGGGCACGGGGTTTATCTTGGCGGAGGGGGGGATAGATAAAACTCCTAAGAATGCGCGAATACCGGATAATATTTCTTTAATTCTCTCTCTCTATGACAGCTTGTCATGACAGCTTGTTTCTATAGATAGTTTGATTTTAATTTGATACGAATGTTAATGATTTATATTATGACTGTGAGACTGGTTGGATTTTTGATACGAATGTTGATTTTAATTTGATACGAATGTTAATGATTGATATTATGACTGTGAGACTGGTTGGATTTTTGATACGAATGTTGATTTTAATTTGATACGAATGTTCATGATTGATATTATGACTGTGAGACTGGTTGGATTTAGATTAATTCCCGATCTTTGAGGGAGACGCGAGATTTTTAGTGAGAAAAATATGCAACCCGATCCAAAATGTTTAATAACAGGTGGTTTTGAGTAGCCTGGTTTTATTTTTTCTTGAAAAATTGGACAAACTAAATAATTTTTATTGGAAAATAAATGAAGTTGCGGATGACAATTTTCAAATACGGTGAAGTATTTTTTGAGGGTTATACGCATTAAAAAGTTTAAGCATTTTTTCGTAAAGTTTTTTCGCGGTGTAGGGAAACTAAAAAATGTTATATTATACTCCATACTTCGAACTCTCTCATTTATACCTTTAAAAAGGTTTTCAAGGATAGGTCTAATCGCCTCCTGGTAAACATGTTCTTGTTCAGATTCATCTCCGTAGGCGTAGTCATATGTGAAGCACTTGTTCGTGTTAAGAATATGAACCTAAACAAATTATTTTAAAGATTTAACAAAAATAGAATTGTCGAGGATGAAAGTCCCCGAAAGAGGATTATAAAATCAGAAGTGTCGGATTCCGGAACCAACGAAGACCTATTCATATGTTCCTTTTTACATTCGAATTTGATTATGTATTTCTATTAGAAGCAAAAAATGTAATTTTAAATTTAAAAAGGATTTTGTATCCCTTTAACATTTTTAAATGATTTGTATCGTATAATATAAACAGTGGCAAACATAATTTACAAGATTTTTATGAGATTCTAATCTTTTACCTGAGGTTCGTTTTCAACTTTCTCCAGAGCTACCTGACAACCCTCCCTCGTCTCTTTGCTCACCAGGGGGCGGATCCGGAGAGCAACCTTTATCAAGAATAACAATTGTGAATTGCAAGGAAACCCAGCTAGACACTCCAATATCTTTGTTTTTTACAGATTTGGGAAAGGATGTTTAACAAAATAGTTTGAGCGGCAGAAAATTATTTTAATTTCCTCTTTAACACTGCAATATAATTAGATAAACAGGTATAAATGGGTTATTTCAGAATGGAAACTAACAAAATGTTGTAAGCGTGAAAATTTCCATGAGAACCCTTTTTGGACCCCCCTCCCCCTTTCAATTTGGGACATATAGCTCATAAGTTTCACACGGACAAAGTCCTAGCCGAGGCGCTCGGCCCACTAGCCTGTCCCAGCCGCAGCCCAAAAATTCTCTTGACCTAACCTAACCTATCCTAACCTATCCTAACCCTGGTATAATGAAAAAAAAGATAAAATGACTTAAGAGGAAAAATAGTTGCGTAATTTCCAAGTGAACGATTTTCGGACACCCCCCGCCTCACCTATCAATTTTGTACATGTATCTCATATGTAACACATGGAAATAGTAAGTCATGTGGCCACAGCGCTCGGCCCCCTAGCCTGGCCTAGCCGCAGCGCTCGGCCCAGAAACTGTCTTGACCTTACCTGACCCTTCACTAATTTAGGACAGACCAAGAGTGGAATGTCATGTACAAAATTGATAGGGTGGGCGGGAAGGGTCCAAATATACTTTTTCTAGGACAGACCCTTAATCATGTAATATGAGCAAGAAGTGTACTTCTGAAATATATATGTCCTTCCGAAGTTTTCTTATGCTATACACCTATGGGTCATTCTTTATCAAGTCGGTCATTCTTTATCAAGTCAGCCACACCATAGAAATTAATACCTGTGGGTCTGTCCTAGTGAACGATTTTTGAACTCCCCCCCCCCCTCCTATCAATTTTGTACATGACCAAATTAGTATTTATTTATCATTATTGAGGATTAGGTTAGGTTAAGACACTTTCTGGGCCGAGCGCTGCGGCTAGGACAGGCTTGGGGGCCGAGCGCTGCGGCCACGGGTTAGGTTAAATTGAGACACTTTCTGTAAGATCCATGTACAAAATGTCCAAAAATTGTATACTAGGACAGACCCAATATACCTGTACCCTTTGACTTAAGAACATAGTATTTTGTTTAATTTCCATAACTCGAAATTTATTTTCAGGAGCTGTATGAAAAAAAATCACCTTAACCGGTATAACTTGGCCCTCCTCCATTCTAAGTCTAAAAAGTATATATATTACAAAAATTGAGATTTAGAAAACTACATCTAGTGCATTAAGAAAATAACGTTAACAGTCCCTTTTAGTTCGATGAGATCATTTACGACTGGTATAGGTTTAATAGCACAAATCGTATCTCATATTTCTTTCCTTCAGCCTGGTTTGGATCATAATCAAACCATTAACACTAATTAATCAAACAAACACTCTCACGTTCTTAAATCGATTTGTGGGTCGAGACGATACCGAATTCTAATTTAGTTTTGGCGGTTTAACGAATATTTGTTAATTTGCCGCGTAGATTTACACAAACAGGTTGTTGGTTCTCTTTTCAGAGTCGTCTTTACTCTTTTCCAACAAGTAATAACGGACTAACGTTAGGGGTCTTTAGGGGAGGCGTCGTTCCTAACTTGGCGGAGGGGGGGATAGATAAAACTCCTAAGAATGCGCGAATACCGGATAATATTTCTTTAATTCTCTCTCTCTATGACAGCTTGCCATGACAGCTTGTTTCTATAGATAGTTTGATNACATTCGTATCAAAAATCCAACCAGTCTCACAGTCATAATATCAATCACTAACATTCGTATCAAATTAAAATCAACCTTATTGTATCAGATTCATAATAACCATCCTTAACCCGTACTATCTATAGAAACAAGCTGTCATGGCAAGCTGTCATAGAGAGAGAGAATTAAAGAAATATTATCCGGTATCGCGCATTCTTAGGAGTTTTATCTATCCCCCCCTCCGCCAAGTTAGGAACGACGCCTTTAGGGGAGGGGGTGGAATTGGAAACCATGTTTGAACTAGCTGGTATGATTAAATGAACCAAAAACAATCACACATTTTTTTATTCCGGCCTGTAAACTACATTTCAGTTAGACGCAAAAATTCATTTTAATTTTTTTTTTACTCTTTTATGTTAATTTTAAATATTTTTTTGTTCATTATACTATTTTTATGTTTTCGATTATTTCATATGAACTATTTTTTTGTTTCTTTGAACTATTTATATGTTAATTTGAACTATTCTTAATTGTTCATTTGAACTATGTTTTTGTTCATTTGCACTATTTTAATTGGTCATTTGTTATTGTTCAAATTAACAAAAAATAGTTCAAATGAACAAACTTAGCTTTTTTAATCTATAACTTGATTCTAAAAGTCGTCTTTCTACTTCAGAGTTTTCTGGTTATGACTGAAGTTACATATCAAACCACCTCTCTTTAGCTTGACCATGGCGTACAAGTTTAAATTGGTTGAACCGACGGTGCGTGGTTCAACCACTTTTCTTTATTCATTAAATACATAGGATGTTTCTTGTAGGTTGAAGATCTTGGGATCCAAAGACTTTGCTAATTACTAATTAGCAAAGTCTTTGTTGGGATCAGTTATAAGAACCAGAGCGTACACAGAGACTATGGTAGCTTAGCCCCCAGGATCAGTTAAATCTGCAGTGGTTTCCAGGTTTTTTTTGAGCCCCAACGGGCGCTGAGCACCTCCCCCCCCCCTAGAAAAAAAATTTCTAAGCCCCTCCCCCCTGGGCAAATTCCTGAGTGGGAGGGGACCGTTATTCAATTTGCAAATTCATTTTCTAGCTGTGACGTACTTAACTACATTGAAAAAGCTTCGCCTTTCCAATTTATTAATTAAAACGTAACTTCCTATATGCGTTGCTTACAACTTGCATTGTAATGTCATTGTATGAAGTATAAAATGAATCTTGACGTTGGACTTTTAAATTTGAGAAGATTAACTCTTTTATAATTCTCGTGACTTACAAAGATTAAGATTATATTTTATTTCATTTGTGAAGGATATGACAGGATCAGGTGGAGGATTGTTTAAGACGACCGGAAGGTCAGGTGGAAGATTGTTTAGGACGACAGGAAGGTCAGACGGAGAGTTGTTAAGGATGTCAGGATCAGGTGGAGTCGGTGGAGGATTGTTTAGGACAACAGGAAGGTCAGGTGGAGGATTGTTTAGGATCCCAGGAAGGTCGGGTGGAGGATTGTTTAGGATGACAGGATCAGGTGGAGGATTGTTTAGGATCCAACAGGAAGGTTGTTTAATTTTATGGTTAATTGGATTTTAGAACCAGATATTTCAATCTGTTTGCTAATCAGAGGACATTTTCTCTCTAAAGTTAAACACTGTTATTCTCTGCAGCTTGAACAGGTGTACAGGCTGAACAAGATGTAGAAAAGCAAATACATTGCTCAGATATCCACATATTAAAGAATACATATATAGAGTATGTGATACAGAAGAGTAAATACAGTTATATATGTAAAGTAATCTCAAATAAAGAGTTTACAGATCACTGGAGAACAAGTTTTTATTTGATGACTCCAATTCTTTCAGGAACTTCCAGTGATGAGAAATACTGAACTGCAGATCTAGATTGAAATGAACAGGGATATGTTTAATGTTGATTTTATTTACTATTTGTTAAATGTTTTGTTAAAATAATATTCTTGTTTAGAACTCATCAGAAGAACGACAGCTTGCATAACCAACTTGAGCTCTCAGGTGTTGGATGAGTTGACCTTCCATCAGGGCTTCAGTATAGAGGTCGGAAAAGATGACCTTCTTCCAGTAGATCCAGATGCTATGTGTCTCAAATCTGTACCAGTTTTTGCTTTGTCATAGAGATTCACGCAAGATTACGTAAGTAGTTAAAAGTTAAAATGAATATTCACTACAATATTAAAATGATACATAATTGATTCATATACAAATACACAAGAGCATTATTTAACTTCCTTTTATAATTACAGAAACAATGATGTGAAGAATATTTAACTTTGCTTTATAAAAGAGGGGAAAGTGGTACAATAAGGGGGGGGGAGAGGGGCTTGCACCGTCATTCTTTGGAAAAATTACTGTCTAGAATTCAGGGATGGTATCAAAGTTAACCAGTCTTGAATTAGAAGGAAAAAGTCATAAACTAAATTTATGTGTAAAGAAAGGAAAATTACACAGAACTTTTAAATAATTTAATATTCATTTTTTTCAAGTTCCTGATTGCTATCCATGGTCATGCATCACGAAATTATAATTAATTTTGCTTTATATTTAGCATAAGAAATAACTAGCACTACTTAAAGGGACTGTAAGCGTAATAACAAGTGACCCTCTATGCAAAGATGAAAATGCCCGATTCACAATGATACCCTTGAAACCTTTATCTGATCGAAATTGTGGAAGATGTTGTCGTTTTCCACAACTCTCAAAATTATGCCGGCAAATAATATCTTTTTTAATTGATTTATGAAAAATATTAGAAAGTAATGCGTTTTTATACATTACTTACACTGTTTATTGGATTTAAATTAATGTTAATTTTAGGACAGGATGCTTAACAAATACAAGGTTCTCAGCCTTTTTAAAAAATTTTATCTTCAACCTACCTTCTAACTGCCATGATTTCTACTGTCACTCAAGACTGGGTAAATTTTAAGTGTCACAATTTCTACTAATATTTTTTGTAGTACATTTCAGAACACTAAAACATCTGTTTTCATAGCTTGGGTTTACAGACGTAATTTGCAAAATTCGCATAAATTGTGTATGAGAGCTTGCAACCTTTGGATCACGTGACCTTCTCAAGAGGGATTAGAGTTAAATTTAAGTAACACAATATATTTCAAGATGAAGTGATGGCTCCCTCCTCTGGTTCTGTATAAACTAAAAATGTCATGGTTTTACTGCTGCAGTTATATTTCTCCTCAGGGGGCTTTTATCGTCTTTGCCGTAATTTTACATTTGTACTTTAGATAATAATCCGAGGTAAGATAACGAAGATAGGACGTTAGGACAGAGTAGAGATAGGACGTTAGGACTAGTAGAGATAGGACGTTAGGACTAGTAAAGATAGGATGTTAGGACGAGCGAAGATAGGACTTTAGGACTAGTAAAGATAGGACGTTAGGACTAGTAACGATATGACGTTAGGACGAGTAAAGATAGGACGTTAGGACTAGTAGAGATAGGACGTTATGACTAGTAAAGATAGGATGTTAGGACTAGAAGAGATAGGGCGTTATGACTAGTAAAGATAGGACGTTAGGACGAGTAAAGATAGGACGTTAGGACTAGTAGAGATAGGACGTTATGACTAGTAAAGATAGGACGTTAGGACTAGTAGACTAGTAAAGCTATTAAGTTTTTGTATCGCAGACAATATTTTAATTTTCTAAACTGATTGAATTTATCGGGTATGTTTGAAATACCCGATATCAACAAATTAACATTTTCTTAGCTTTTGCCTGTGAGTGTCTGAAATCCAAAGCCCATAGTTTAATACTTATGGAATAAGTAATGGTTTAAACCATTATAGTTTCAGTAGAAGTAAATATTTCCATTTACTGTTAGCGCCGATTGAAGGATTCATAACTCTAATTTGATAATTAGATAGATAGAAAGATAGATGATACCGCCATACTATTTCTATTGGTTCAGAATAGACAACAAACACATGACTGAACCCTGATTGGATGAGGCGCTAATGGACTCGGCATACTGGATGTGAAGTTTTAAAGCTATCATAAAGGTAAACTGATCTAGAACATTTAAACTGGTAAATCAAAAAAAATGTGAAGTAGTGAATGTAAAAAATCAGCAATTTTTTAAAACATTTTTTCAAAGTTTAACTGAGAAAACGTATACTATAAAACCTGTACAGATTTATAACTCCTAAAACGAGAAGTTAGCTGTCAACATATATTACATATTACATATATTACTAATAACCTAAAAGGCATTAATATCTAGGAATGAGATGAATTTCTAATTGAATAAATTGAATATAAACCTACAAGTATCAATTGATTCAAAAACAACCATTTCTTGTCCGATCTTAGTATTCTGTAATGTGTATGCTAACTTGTCCGATCTTAGTATTCTGTAATATGTATAATACTCACTTCATAGAAAGTTAAGAAAAATTTATCCGTTATTCATGCATGGAATAATGAAAATACCATCTTCATGGTGAAGCAGCATTTTTTTAGCCATTTGAATGTGATGCATTGAGCAAATATTTACCAAACTTAAAAATTGGAAAAGCTTGAAAAGATAAAACGTTGAATAACGACCAATGACGAATGACCCCCCCCCCCCTTTACAATACAGAAATAAGCTAATTTACTTAGAAAAGTTTACTGCCTAATGTCCATATATATTAAAGCCTTTCGTTCATATATTTGTCAGCTATAGCTGGCTAAACGGCTGTACC